GTATGTCAGGTTAGGAACGCTGAATATTCTACTTTTCCTGTGCATGGTTTCATGAATTTGACAGACGAAAATGGTCATATTACTTATATTCAAGTAATTATTTGATCTGATCATACAAGTATTTATATTTACCTGTGGATTGCTGTACTTGTCTCATATGCGTTGTTGCACATAACCACAATTTTTGCCCCTACCCAAATTCTCTTCTACATGAATTACCTACTTCAATCAAATTATGAAGATTGAAAAGAACATGTAACATGGAAATTATTTTATTATTATTGTTATCGTCGAATGTAAACTCCCGCGTTTTTTGATTGACTTAAATTCCGTAATGCGCATGCGGTGTCCTTTGCAACTCTGGCGACCCTGCTTTTGAGTATAGGGTCACGAAAAATCAACCCCGAGTCAGTGATCGAGTTAGCATACAAGTTTTCGAAGGTAGGTAACCTGGTTTGGGTAACCGAGCGTTCAGGTTAGGGATCCGAACAACCCGAGTAAGTTTCCGAAAACGCCTCTTCTGTCATATTGGATTTGCAATGGGTACAGGGTACAGGTACCTATGTTCCGTGAATCAACTTGGTTATTTCTGATATATTAATATGAAATGTTTGGTTGGTCCTTGAAAAATGGTCATTTACAAAACTCCGTTGCTGAGAAAGCAGTAGATTCTTATTAGGCGTTCTCGGAAACTTACTCGGGTTGATCGGATCCCTAACCTGAACGTTCGGTTACCTAAACCGAGTCATCTACCCCTGTTCGGAAACTTGAATGATGCTAACTCGATCACTGACTCGGGTTGATTTTTCGTGACCCTACTCAAAAGCAGGGTCGCCAGAGTTGCAGAGGACACCGCATGCGCATTACGGAGTTTAAGTCATTCAAAAAACGCGGGAGTTTACATTCGACGATAACAATAATAATAAAATAATTTGCATGTTGGGAAAAATCACGACCGGTGATATAAATGTTCTTTTCAATCTTCATAATTTGATTAAAGTAATTCATTGAGAAGAGAATTTGAGCAGGGGTGAAGTTTGTGGTTATGTGCAACATTACATGAGACAAGTACACCAATCCACAGGTAAATATAAATAATTGTGATCAGATCAAAAAATTACTTGAATATAATGTGACCATTTTCGTCTGTCAAATTCATGAAACCACAGGAGAAATATAATATTCAGTGTTCCTAACCTGACACGTTCGTAAAAGTTGGACACGAGTAGATGATCCGAGTTTTTTGTCACGTGACCTATCTGGATCGAGTTATCAACCCAGAGTAAGTTTCCGAAAACGCCTAAGGATTGATAATTTCCTTCAGGTAGAGGTTAGGATATCAAATGGAGGGCTAGAAGGGGATTTATGAACAAAATACATTGAGCTATTGTTTCATCATGTTACATCAAAATCTTCATTATATAGTGGCTATTTCTTTGATTCAACCCATTAATACAATTGTTGTGTATTTATTTTTTTTTTCAACAAGTTCACATATACATATCACAACTGTATATATTGTAATGCTCAAATTTAAAAATATAAAAAACAAACAAAGTATATGACATAATACTTCAATAACGCATTATAAATTATATGTGTATATAGTAAAAACGGAATAAATAAATTACGTTTTTGTACAAAACACACAATATCAAGTATGCTAAAAACAATCATCCATTCAAAAATAATTTACTTCCATATAAAATGTCAATCCGAAATTCAAAAAAAAGCTGGTACCACTCCAAAAAGCACTGTAAATTTGGCTAAGGAAAATACAGCGCGTCTCATTCTGAATTGAACCCCCCCCCCCTCCTCCCCCACCACTATATCTCAAGCTATTAATAGCCCTGCGATTCATACCAAATTTGGACCGGTATGAATAACCATCAATAAAATCGGTTTTTCAGAGACGAGTGTTCTTTTGGACAGTTCCGTACTTTTTCATTGAAGTAAAAAAAGGTCGACTTTTATGAAATCATATCAAGATTTTTCTGCAGAGAAGCTAACTTCATATTATTGTACCTCCTCATGCTTTCGAACCTCCATATCCGAAAAATCCCCTCATTCCGAATTAACACGATTGGCTTCATTTTTTCATATTCAGTATCAAAAAAATAGTGAATTCAAATCAGCTTCAAATTTTGGAACGTCTAATGACGTCGATAGGTAGAATAGAAAATCATTATTTGAAGGAAAAACAAGATATACGTCTTCATGTTGAACTTACAGTTTCGGAGTAAATGATTATTTCGTTCACAAAAATGCTGCCAGTTTTTTCGAAACACTATATAAGAATCAAATGAATATTCACATATAGGAGTTTGAAACTATGAAGAACGATATTATGACGTCTGTTTTCCTGTAAACTAATCCTGATATACGGGAAATTGGCCTGGCCTGGCTGATATCATATTCCAAGGCATTCTGAACAACATGACCTATAACCAAACTGAAGTAATGGCTAGTTTTGGCGCTAGAGGCCGCTAAAGTATCAATCTTGATTTATTTGCTCTCAAAAAATAATGCCTTGGACTATAACATATCAAAAATTCAGCCAATCCAACAGGAGGCCAATTTCTTCTATAAAACATGTGGTATGGTGAGAATCGCACAACTAATAGCTGAGATATAAAGGGGGAACCGTTTGGAGTGAGACACCCAGTATGAATCCCACAGAATTATATACTCACCTAGAATGCCAATACATGCCGACGCGCGAAAACAAAATAACACACTACAAATAGGTACGTGCACTTCTGAGTTTGCGCATTGCTTCGGAATCGACGCAAAATCTAAAAGGTTTCATGTCATCAAGGGGAGTATTATGAATTCTCCATCGATACTTGCAGAGCATAGTCATCAAGAAAACATAAAACTATATGATTCAGTTACTTTTTAGCTGCAAAATTACACGGAACAAAAAGTTCGATATATTGAAGGGTGTTGTCATATCTGTCAAATGGAGTGAACAGGTCTGGCCTGGTCACAGTTCACACTAGCTCACAGAATTTTGTGGTTTAAACTACGTTCCAAATAAGAAGACAGTAAGTGGCGCTGCTTCTGAAGGATTCTTTACACTGATGAAATAAATGATGGCGCCTAATTCAAAATCATGGCCATTTTGATGATTAAATTCCACTATAAGATCGTGTTTACTCTCAGGATATATCTGTCAAATCGAGTGAACAGGTCTGGCCTGGTCACAGTTCACACTAGCTCACAGAATTTTGTGGTTCAAACTACGTTCCAAATAAGAAGACAGTAGGTGGCGCTGCTTCTGAAGGAATATTTACAGTGATGAAATAAATAATGGCGCCTAATTCAAATGGCCATTTTGATGATTAAATTCCACTATTAGATCGTGTTTATTCTCAGAATATATCTGTCAAATTGAGTGAACAGGTCTGGCCTGGTCACAGTTCACACTAGCTCACAGAATTTTGTGGTTCAAACTACGTTCCAAATAAGAAGACAGTAGGTGGCGCTGCTTCTGAAGGAATATTTACAGTGATGAAATAAATAATGGCGCCTAATTCAAATGGCCATTTTGATGATTAAATTCCACTATTAGATCGTGTTTATTCTCAGAATATATCTGTCAAATTGAGTGCACAGGTCTGGCCTGGTCACAGTTCACACTAGCTCACAGAATTTTGTGGTTCAAACTACGTTCCAAATAAGAAGACAGTAGGTGGCACTGCTTGTGAAGGAATATTTACAGTGATGAAATAAATAATGGCGCCTAATTCAAATGGCCATTTTGATGATTAAATTCCACTATTAGATCGTGTTTATTCTCAGAATATATCTGTCAAATTGAGTGAACAGGTCTGGCCTGGTCACAGTTCACACTAGCTCACAGAATTTTGTGGTTCAAACTACGTTCCAAATAAGAAGACAGTAGGTGGCGCTGCTTCTGAAGGAATATTTACAGTGATGAAATAAATAATGGCGCCTAATTCAAATGGCCATTTTGATGATTAAATTCCACTATTAGATCGTGTTTATTCTCAGAATATATCTGTCAAATTGAGTGAACAGGTCTGGCCTGGTCACAGTTCACACTAGCTCACAGAATTTTGTGGTTCAAACTACGTTCCAAATAAGAAGACAGTAGATGGCGCTGCTTCTGAAGGAATATTTACAGTGATGAAATAAATAATGGCGCCTAATTCAAATGGTCATTTTGATGATTAAATTCCACTATTAGATCGTGTTTATTCTCAGGATTTATTAAAACATATAAATTATACAAAACTAAATAGAATGTGATGATCATCTTCCCACAAAGAAAACTTCATCCTTCACGTCACGTCACAGGTCATAATAATAGTCAGGTGTAATATTGCCTCCGATATTAACCAATCAAAGCAAATGTCAATGCTTCCCTATGATTGCCAATGATGTCTTTTAAGTTGGAATGGACGTTTTATAGTTGAGTTGACGTTTTATAGTTGAGTTGACGTTTTATGTGATTTTCGACTGATTGATTTATGGGTGATATTTTATATTTGGCTTTTGTCTAACAAGGAGTTAGCCTGTCTTTGTTTGTTCTCGTTTTTTGAAGACTGAACTAAGTAGAATGAAATGTATGATGCTGTTCGTAAATCTGCTGAGAACATTTTAGGAGTAACATATTTCTTGTATTGCATTCAATAAAACAAGTATATTCATTGGTGAATCAACGACTTTACTTGACTTCCACACAATGTGTAAAGTACATAAAGTCCATAATTATAATCCAGGTTCCTCAATATATTAGGAACTACGCGCATCTCTGTATGAATCCAAGAAACGTCTGTATGTTGATAAAAAAAACAAAAGCTAGTGTTTTAAAGGCCGGTCCTCGCCTCATAATAACTCGATATTATTGTTGCATACCTACTGCGCAAGCTCAGAAGTGCACGTGCGCAAAATCAATTTGGGTCGATGAATTTTCCATGCTTTGGCATTCGAGGTGAGTACATATAGTTCTGTGATGAATCCCTATATCTCCATCAGTGCTCGCCGTTCGTCATTTCCGATAGTTCCTCTTCTTCGTCGCTGTAATCGTCAATACTGTAATAATTCTTGGACGAAGAAGACGGAGGGGTGGGAGAGTCGCACCTTTGCGATTTGACGGGCGGTTCCCCGTCCTCGGAGAAATCGAAGTCTCCATTGCTAGACGTGGGGCTGCCAGGCGGGTAAGGAGACGATGGTGGACTCAGAGCATTCAGAATCTTACCTATTAAAAATATAAGAAACGAAAAACTATTGGAATATTTCTAGATTTTTTTTTAGATTTGAAGAAAGCATTTAGCAATATTCTTATTACCATTTTACATTCTCACTACTGAGATCAATTTAGTTAGGAGGTGAGACGGATCTGAGATGTCCATTGAATAAAAAGAACACGTTTTTATCTGTCAGGAAGGGCAAGGGAAGAAAACATAACCCAACATTATTCAACCAAAAGGTAAAATGGCTGAGGAAATTAATAGGGAGCATAGAAATATTATTGTAGTGAGTAATCAAAGGATTTAACCTGTGGACTGGAACTTCATAGCTGAAACCATGTCAAAATGAAAATATAACCTCACAATTTTCAGCACAGAACCACAGAATTACTAGAATCAATCTCACCGTTTTCTCACTATACAACACCAGAATAATAGCAAGCTCACTTGGGGTGAGGGGGAAGAAATAGTCTCAATAAGTTCTTAAGACAACTTACATCAGACTAAGATAAATGAAACATGTAATACAACTGAGCTATTGAGCTCACTGAGAATCTTGGTTAATCTCAGTCAAAGTTGGTAAAAATAAAACTTGACCTTATGTCGATAAACCTACCTTTCTGAATCAACTGGCAGTTAGGCATCAACTGACAGACAAATTGCATTTGACAAACCGGCACTTGAAAATTTTGCTCCGACCAAACCCACCGCTCACCTTTACTCTCGTTCCATATATTCGACAGCCTCTCTTGACCGAACAAGAGCAAAAAGTTCTCGATAAACTCCCGCGACTTCTCCTCCCACTTCGCGATCATGTCGCCCTCCTTCTCCCCAATGGACCCCATCACGCGTTTGCTCTTGTCCTTCAGCTCGTGCATCTTGTTCGGCAGCCGGATCTTCTTCTCGCTGAGATAGCTGATGATGAGGTCCTTGGCGGAGTATCCGCGCGCCAATATTCGAGGATTATTTTTAGATGTTTTTATACAAGAAGGAATATCGCACCGGCACTGGATTGAAATATTTTCATTCAAAAGCCTTCAGAATATCAATTTTAGTGATTTTCCTACTTCAAAAAGAAGGATATTCCTAGATAGTTCAGACACTTGCAGATAGATAACCTCCCGCGATTTCTCCCACTTCGCGATCATGTCGTCCTCCTTCTCCCCAATCGACCCCATCACCCTCAACTTAACCTGATGTGGATAAAACTACCATCCTAGATTACCTGGCAGTTGAACCTAACCTGACAGATAAATTACATTTGATATTCAGGCACTGAATTTTATGCTCCGACCAAACTTCTTCGGCAAGCCCAAACCCACCGCTCACCTTTGCTCGCAATCATGTCGTCCTTCTTTTCGCCGATCGAACCCAACACCCTCAACTCAACCTGATGTCGATAAACCTACCTTTCTAGATCAACTGACAAATAAGCATCACCTGTCAGACAAATTGCATTTGATTAACCGGCACTGAATTTTATGCTCCGACCAAACTTCTTCGGCAAGCCCAAACCCTCCGCTCACCTTTACTCTCGTTCCATATATTTGACAGCCTCTCTCGCCCGAACAACAGCAAAAAGTTCTCGATAAACTCCCGCGACTTCTCCTCCCACTTCGCAATCATGTCGTCCTTTTTCTCCCCAATGGACCCCATCACGCGTTTGCTCTTGTCCTTCAGCTCGTGCATCTTGTTCTGCAGCCGGATCTTCTTCTCGCTGAGATAGCTGATGTTGAGGTCTTTGGCGGAGTACCCGCGCGCCAGGTTCCTGCGCACGTAGATGTCGTAGTCGCGCACGATGCGCGAGACGATGTCCGAGGTGGACACGCCCTCAGTGCGCTCCGTGGCCACGAACATGCCTTTCGCCTTCCAGGGCGCGTACACGTCGTTGCTGCTGTCAGAGCCGTAGGGGATGTCGTCGTGCGCTATAAAGTCAAGGTATACAATATACAATCAGTATTCTACAACGGAATCGTTTTTATACAGGTTGAGTCCAATAGTGTCTTCTCCTTTGATATAGGCAAAACTGTCAGATATATAAAAAAAATTCAAATACAAGGGGGCCAGGTATAGTTTATCCGAAAAGAATTGCAGAATCTTGTACCGCACATGCAGTCACTTCAAAGGAAACCTCAAACACGCCGACGCCGCACAGTGTGGGATATTCTGCAATTGATATTGGATATACTTTAACCGTGCGGACAGAGAGTCAATATTCTAATCCGCATTCGCTTGCCGGTTGTGGGTTCGATTCCCATCGACTGCAGAAATTTTTCTGAAGGCCCAAGAAAGTGTTTGGGATCACACTTTAACAGGTAAGGCCCCCGTCATTCCTTGCTCGCACAGGTCTCTCGAAGACTTCTGAGGGTTGCTCGTAAGGGGGAAACCGAATGACGGATAGAACAATTTTACAACAATTTTTTTACAGTTATAAGGTTTCATGAGAACTATCACCTAAAATTATTTTCATATCTATAGGGTGTTCAAACTCGAATATATCGACTGATGATGGTTTATGTGAATGGGATACCATGTATATCATTGCATTTTTACTTCCTCCCTGAAGAGCTGATTTCATCAATGCATCACACTTGGGGTCTAGCAGGAATGATTACAGAGATATAGTGAGTTCAAAATCGAGATTTTTCAACTTGTGGATTTTTTTGTGTCCAAACTATTCATTATTGGTCAAAACGGCTTACATATCCCTATGTTTACTTTTGATTAACTATCTACTGACATTCAATTGGGACAGATACAGGGTGATCAGAATTCATGAAACTTGCACCACCCTGTATTTGTTCCAATTGAATGTCAGTAGATACTTAATAGTAAACATTGGGACATGTAAGTCATCTTGACCAATAATAAATAGTTTCGACAAAAAAAATCCACAAGTTGAAAAATATCGATTTTAAACACGAAAGAACACAGATATTATGTTTTCCAAAAATAGTACATTTGTGATGGAAAATATTCGCAAGATTATTTAAAAACTCTAGCACCATCTCATGAGATTGAAACGCTTGCATGTCATAATTTTGCTATTTTCTGGAACTATAAAACTTTCTCTTTTGAGTATTCCATAGCACTACTGCAAAATATATGATGTGATATTACATCAAATTAGAATGTCTCGGCATTCGTGGAATTGCATTAGATCTTTTCAAAAGTTATCTCGAGGATCGAAGGCAGGTTACAAAAATAGATGGTATGTTCAGCCAAGAAGAGATTGTAGCAGTCGGTGTTCCTCAAGGTACCGTTCTTGGGCCGATACTATTTATACTGTATTTAAATGATTTACTACAATCAGACTCAACAGGAGTAATTTTATCATTTGCCGATGACACAGCAATTATTTACGTGGGAAAAAACTGGTCAGAAATCCAACAAATTGCCTCTGATGATATACAAAATATATTTAAGTGGTTTGATTCGAACAAACTGACCGTTAACGCTTCAAAAACAAAAATTGTACCTTTTACTTCATATAAACCATTTTTACCGGATTATAATACCATCTCTGTAGCAAATCATAAACTTGAGCTCGTACACACCTGCAAATATCTAGGCATCCATATTGACTCCTTTTTGAAATGGGACGTTCACGCTCGCAACATCACGAATAAACTCAGAGGCCTCATTTACAGATTTAAACAACTAGTGGAATTTTTATCTCTCAATCAACTGAAAATTATATACGCCGCTTTTGTTGAATCCATATTACTATACGGTATCATTGGTTGGGGTGGAATAAGGAATAATTATCTGAGTCCAATCAATATAATTCAGAAACTAATACTGAAAATTATTCTCAAAAAACCTCGCAGATTCTCCTCAGAACAATTATTCAATAATTCAAAAGTAATGGACATGCGACAACTCTTTTGTTTCAAAGCTCTTTGTTTCCTATACTCAAACAGGCATTATACTTATAATATACCACATACTTACGGTACGAGGCAAAATACACAATCCGCTATGTATGCCCCGGCTACTCAGAAAGCACTTGGTCAGAGAAGCTTCTGCTTTATCGGATCGAAATTTTGGAACAATTTACCGAACACTTTGAAAAAAATAAATTCAGCTCGTCTTTTCAAAAACAAATTAAAGGAATGGATATTCGTAAATGACCGAAAGTATTTCGCCAATGTAATCGATCCATTTTTAGTTAACATATAATTTTGTTATTATTTTTGTACTGTATACTATTTGTCATAGTTGTATCTATATGCATATATTTATTACCAAAAAATACTTTTTGTTTTTCATACAGGTCTTTCACCCTTACATATATCTTAGTCGTAGGTAGAAGTCCAATAACTGAAAATTATATTAATGATTGATTAGTCAAAACATATTTTAGACCTAATCAGAATTTCGCAGCAAAAAAAGAAAAAAAAAATATTATAATATTCGCTCCTTCTATTTATTTATTTTTTTTACTTGTGTTTTCAAATTTAATTTAGTTTAGCCAGATACATTCACGATATTTTTTTCTCAATAAACTATGAATACCCGAAGACAAGTTCTTCGATGAACTTAGTCGGGTACCCATTCTTGTTTATTTAGTGTACCTTCATCGATATAACGATATATCTAGACTTTGTTATATTTAAAATTTCACTTAGTATTATGTTTAGGAGATATATTTTGTATTTATGCATGAAAAAAAAATGTAAATGTAATGTACGTATTCATGAATAAACAAACATTCATTCATTCATTCATCCTAGGAATTAAATTTGTTGATTGAAAATGGCAACTAGAAATTTTCATGAATTTTAGGTATTGCCCTTATAAAACCTTTGCTCAAATTCGAATGATTGAATTACCTTTCGAGTTATTGAAAAGTTATGAAACGGTCGTGCTAGCTTGAGGTTGAGCTGTCACAACACCACTGTCTCGCTAACCGCTTGAGTAAAAAAAATCAGATTGGCGTTGAAAATCATCAGTGCAGGGGTGTCCCCAGATGGCTTTCATGACCGCCATCTGGTGCGAACCTGACCCAACGTAAACACCTCTGAGCATTTAATGCCCACGAGGCGTCCGGCCACAACGAAATGGAATAGTTAAAATAAACAGGTAAAACGGTTCTCAGTCGTATTTACCTATGAAGTCGATTTTGTGTTTGGCCACGTATTCGTCGTCCAGCTCCCAGGGGGCGTCGCGAACGATTTCGTCGACGTAGCGGCAGTGCCTGAGGGCCTCGTACCGTTCGAACTCGTTCATCACCGTGCGGCCCTTTTTGCTGTGCGTTAGGTCGTCGCTGCACACTGGAATAGAAAGTGGTATGGTGGATTGGTGACACATGACAAAATCATATTCAGCAAGAATTATACACACCCTAGACTAGGGTGGTTCTTAACCGGTGGTCCGCGGACCACTGGTGGTCCCTGGAAGCACCCAAAGGGGTCCGCGAAGCCATCGGAAAAATATTGAATTAGTGACAAGCGGACGGATTATCAATTTGAAATACGACTCTCTTAATTGGTAGATCGAACAACTCTATAAATTGAATCTGCAACTGCAAGGGTCAGGAATTTTGAAATTGCATGACATGTGCAGTATATTTGCATTGAAAATAAAATTGCTGCATTTATCGCTGAAAGATTTTTTCTACGTTTGATAAGCTGAATCAAATTATTGAAGGAGAGTGTGCTGAGATCAAGAGAGGCAAATTTGAAAAGTGAATTCGATCGCTATTTTCCTGACTGCGATAACAAAGGTAATCGGAGATTGTCAATGTTTTTGAGCGCCTGATAGAATTGAAGAAGAAGTGATTGAAATGCAAACCGATGGTAACTTGAAAAATGCATTCGAAGCAGGAATTGATTTTGATGATTACTAGAGTTAAAAAGAAATTTCTTTTGCATAGATTTGGGAAATTGCAATTTGATACCTACCTTAGTTTTCATCGACATATCTATGCGAGCAGGGGTTTTATTAGGCACTTCTAATCATTAAAACAAGCACCGAAATCGGTTGGATGCTACTGCCGACATGCGTTTGGATAGGACTGAACCAAGTATTGAGGAGTATAACAAAATATAAAAAAGATATATTCTGTCTCTGTTATGTTGAATTTTCGCCTAAAGATTCAAATAATGTTGATTGTGAACAGATGCATGTTTTATTCATAGATAGAACAATGATCCATTAATTTTCATTGCATGTGTTCACCTCCAAACAGTCAGTGGTCCATGGCAATTTTGAATATTGTCAAATGGTCCCTGAGCACTAAAAGGTTAAGAACCACTGCGAGATAGACACCTTAAATGTAAGAATGGACTACGCTCAGTTGAACAGTCCCAAAAGAGCGTTCCCAATTTTTACATAATAATTGTATATCTAGGGTGTGTATAATTTTTGTATTCAGGAAACTCAAAATGAATTTCTCCTTGGTTGAGTTTAATTAGAGGTATGTCATTTCTGTTTGGGGTTTACCATTTAGCATACGGATATGTACCATGCTAAGTGATCAATTAAGCACGGATTGATGATCTGTTAAAAAATTCAAACACGTTAGCATGGCAACACAATTTCTTGAAACACATTACCATGGCAACAGAGTTTTTCAAACACACCTTCAGTCGTTTGAGTCCTGTCCGACCTGGCTGTAGGAACTGTCGACTGTCATTTTCGTATTTTGTTGCAATCAAATATTTCAAATAATTTCTGTTTGTATCAGAATTCTTCATTAGAAAATGTATGCGAAATGTAAAAGAAAGTGAAATCGAAGACATTTTTTTTTGTAGGTACTGGAATACTCTATAGGAAAAAAAGAAAGTTCTCATCTTTGTGGGCAATTCATTCTATGCTAAGCATGACAATAAACGTAAAACACAATATTCATGTGAGCAAAAAATGCAATCAGAATATGGATACAAACCTGAGGAATCGAAAACTTTGACACCTCAGCGAATCGAAGAGTTTCCTCTTCTATAGATACGTCAGATGGAATCCCAATCACAACGGTCAGTAAACAAGCCATGTATCATGTACCCGATGGACTGGACGCACATGTACAGTCGTCTTCAGAGATCATGTCGCGGTTGGACGGTGTCAGCGCTCTTATTGCAGTTCTTAAGAATGCTATCATCGTCCATGTGCGACATGTTTTCTGAAGATGACTATAAAACCAATATAACTTTACGTTTCTCGTTAGTTGAGTGCAGTATTATGTACTATGTTCTCAATTCCCATTCCCTTCCAATTATTTTGTAGGTTAGAAAGTAGGTTACTCTAATTTTCGGAATTATGAGATCCTGTCGAAGGGAAGAATTATAAGTTCGTAGAAAAAGTGTAGTATGTAACGCGTTTATAAACTCTTCTAGACACTCGTGTATTAAACACTCGCTCCGCTTTGCGCTCGTGCTTAAAATACTCGTTACCAAAATGACGTTTATAACAATTGTTACATAATATACTATTATCTAAACTAATATTATTAAAAGGAAAGATTTGTTTGTTTGTATTAAATAGGCTTCGAAAAGACTGGACGGATTCGAAAAATTATTTCACTATTAGAAGCCGACATTATCCCTGATAAACATAGACAACTTTTGACCGCGGGAAAATGCTTCATTGCTATAATTAGACAACAGTAGTAAGAATTATCCTTCTGTACTTTTTTTAAATGGATACACCAACGGTGCGAAGACGGGCCAGACAGCTATATACCTTACTGGAGGAGAGCAACCCTGTCAAAAAATTCAAATAGAATGGGGTGATGGGTGATAGCTCATTTGAAAGGGGGTTTCAATTTCTATTCAACTGTGCAAAGAAATTGAAATTTCAAATGAGCTCCAGTAAGGGATAAAATTAGGAGTGACCTATTCCTACGAAAACGTACACTGTGGAAATCAAAAATTGACGTGTCTCGGCGATTTTCCTAACAAGGGTCCCGTAACGAGTTATATAGGGGGGTAACACTTATGATGCGCACTGTATATTTTTATTGTAGGTATATTCAACTCTTTTTCAAAACCATTCGTTTATCAAATAATAATGATTGTTCTTTGATGATTAAACAAAAAGGTGATCGACCGAAGTCCTTCAGTTCATACCTGCATCTTATTTTCATCTCATTTTGTTTTTACTACCTATGGCAGTTAGACTTTATCTTCGACAATGACGTATATTTTTGATATTGCTTGATTCAACAATACAAGATAATTTGACAGAAAATTATGAGGAAAAACGAGGCAAAAATTGGGGCTAGATAGCAGTCTATCGCAAAAAGTTATCTGAAAAAATTGATTCCAATTCAGTTTTTAAACTTAGTGACAATTCGCGAAAAGTTAACTGCAGCATTTTACACCATCAACAAATATTTTACTCTTTAATTGCTCTATGTTCTCTACTGAATAGCTCGACTATTGATTGAATTTCTTTAGAAAATGTTCTCACCAGGACCATGCCTATTACAATGGTCATAGATTAGATTAGACATACCCAATCAATGCAATGGTTGTTATCTAACCGTTGTATCAGAATTCCATGAATACTGTGATGAATGAAAATTTTTCCACTTCAGTTTCTATATTGCATTGATAAAGATATGAAACAATGTCAAAATTTCATAATAAATTGCAATTCAAACTTAGTCATCCTACTTTTGATCAAAACATCATTGATAAGAATTATTATACAGGGTGTTTCATAATTAAATGTCAATATTTGGGGAGGCGATTTTTGGGCCCATTCTAAGAAGAAAGTTTCATATGAACGTATGACCTAAACGTCCTAACTTTCGAGATACAGGGTGGTAAAGTTCTCAAAAATTAACAGTTTTTGATTAATATCTGTAAAACCACTTCAGATATTCTAATGAAATTTGGCATACATGTAGTATGTATCCAGAGGCATCAGTTAGTGTACCACATTTTTTTGGTTGCCACCAGTGGCGTTCGTATGAAATTCCACATGCCTATTTTGGAGACATTGATGGACGCCACTGATTGATCTCGAAATTGAAATCATTCCTGAAATTCCCAATCATTTCTGAGCAAATTTGAGATCACTACAATTTTTTCAATCTGATGCACGGGTTTCACATAAAAAAATAAAAAGCTTTTCACTACAATTTCGTTAATATGTATAACAATATCAACATGCAGAGAAATTTTATTTATTAGATCAAATTTCAGAAATACAATTCATAGTTTATGAACTTCGTATTCGTATTTGGTATTTTGGAATTATAACTTATCATTGTAGTAGGTTATATTAATTTTTCAGAACTTTACCACCATATATCTCAAAAGTTAGGACGTTTATATGAAACTTTCTTCTCAGGATGGGCCCAAGAATTGCCTTCCCGTATATTGACGTCGTTTCCACATTACAACTCTAAATGATAAATAATGATTGTTTTGAAGTAATATTTTCATCATGAACTGGAAGTTTAAATCTTTATTCCATACTTCACTATGACAGATGACATGCTACTAGTTAATACTGAGAACCTGAACAATGTAGAATTTGAATAATGAAAAGAAGATTACATGTAATACTCTACATCGTGTCAACCGGTAACATTAATAAATGAAGATACCCTTGGTCAAAGGTATGCAATTATTTTTGTTTATCCTAACAGTTTAATGACATTTATGTACAGGGTGGCAAACCAAGAATGTGAGGTACTGTATCTGAGTAAGTATCCATCGTAGAGGCTCGCGGCAAAAAAATTAAACACTAAAACAGCCAAGAGAAAAACCTGGAAAATATTTTCATGCTTCTGAAATGGCCGCTAGGTAGCGTAACTGCAATGTGGAACCTGAAAAAGTTATGCTTCTGTCAATTCCGCAATATTAACCTAACAAAAAATTCCTGATCTTCAAAGTCGACGATTATCTGAACTTTTTTTTTTGTTCGCAAATTTCGTGTTTCTCTAAAAATAACGTGGTAGAGGTATATGAGGTTTTCTGTCAAAAACGCCCTGTTTCTTCGAAACGGCTGAGCCGATTTTAACACACTTGGGCTAGTTGAAAAGAGCTATTCTTGGGCTTCTGATATTATAACATTTGAAGTTTTGTTAGTTTCACAAGTCATCGCCAGAGGACTTTTTTCGACATTCCAATAGAAATTGTTAATTTCTTTAAAAAACTCAAATGCATTAGTATGATTTTTTTGTCATGAAAGAGTTGCTAAATGAAGCCTAAAAAAGATGTTGAAAACCGCATCTCGTTATCCTGTTCCTAACCTAAAATTTAGCCAAAGAAAATTTTAATTTTAGAGAAACAGCAAAAATTGCCGAACAAAAAAGGTTAAAATAATCTTAGACTTCGAGGATTAGGTATTTTGTTGTTGGGTTGATATAGCGGAATTCACAGACACATCACTTTTTTAGATTCAACATTGCAGTTACGCTACCTAGCGGCCATTTCCAGGTTTTTCTCTTGGCCATTTTGGTAAAAACTTTTTTGCCGCAAGCCTGCCTCTACGATGGATAGTTTCCCAGATATAGTACCGCACATTCTTGGTTGGCCACCCTGTACATACGTGCATAATTTTAACAACATATTTAATGAATACTTATAGTTATCACCATAGTTGTAATATATTGATGAACATGTACTATTTATAGAAATTAATGTAATTAGATTTTTTTATTGTCCAAACAAGGTGAATGATTGTTCCACTATTCAATAAATTTCAAAAAATATGGGAAAAGGGAAAGTTTTTGAAAAAATTGAACATGTTAATGGAACTAGGTCCTCTCAAAGTCCTTGCAACAATTTCATCCATGTCCTTGGTTTCATATATTTACAAGTTATGCCAGTTCGTTTGAAAAGCTCAACATGCTCAAAAAATCATAAAGATCACGTTATCTGACGTCACTGATTTAATTTTCATGATCCAGTAAGAGCATTAAACTCAAAAAACAGAAAGCTTGATTTACTGATCAACACAAACGAACACAAAGCAGTGACACAAATCATTTCTGAACAAGCCTAATCTGAGTAATTTCCAAATTTGCTTTGATTTGGTTTTGATTGGAGGTTTTGATCGTTGATGTTGATCCAGAGAAAAGAATAAGTGATTGAAATGACAGAACCGTTGGCATTATTCGAGGATTATGTCATAATTCGCGTCTATTACCTACGCAAAGTTAATTCTACTCTTTTTTGACATATTTATTGTTCTAAAAAAAAAAAAATGTTACTTTATTTTTTCGCCATTTTCTTTTTTTCATTCGTCAACCAACTTGATCAATCTGATCAACATCAAATATTGCTCACATCACTTTTTAGCAGGGTGAGCATGCAAACGAACAGGCCTGCATTATACAAAAATACTAATAAAACTAAACAAAATGCCCAATATTCATTTTTTTTTTAAACAGGACAGATAACAGTGTCAGTAATAACACGAATGATGATAGTTTCAGACGTTAGAGTCATTACTTGGGATCATGTTAGTTCCATTGAAATAACACGAAAACGTCAAAACCATAAAGCGCTAATTGACCATACTTTTAGTTTTACACATTTCATATAGTGAGGTTAGCTACAAAGATCCAAAGAGGTTAAATATGAATAAAATCGGCGCCACTGTTAAAATTATTGTAAGTATTTTCATTAGATCTAAAACTGATGAATTGTTAATAATCAAAAATAAGTGGAAGAACAACTTCTTGAACCCTTCGATTTTCAAACTAATTATATTTTACATTGAGAAGAGACAATGCATTCAACAAATGACTCTCAATTTGACAGTTACTGCTGCCAACAAATAGCACAAAATGTCCAAGTGAAATATGGGCAATGGAGAAGTTTGCTACAGATGAATTTTTATAAAATAAGTTCAGAACTCCTCAGTTTTATGTCCATGCTGTACAGAATGGCGATCGAAGTCCAAATCAATTTCATTCTGAATCTAGTCCGAAGAAGAATATAGCTGGCGGATAGGAAGAAGACAACTTGGCGTCGTTGTTGATTATATCAAGAAAAATAACGATGATCAACTTACTAACAAAACAACAATAAACTGTAGACATTGGCTAACAAAAACTAGTAAACAAAGACATACATAACAACAAAGTCAGTATTTTCTGTGGTGTGAACAGGTTCAAAGTATTATGCACTGTTGCAAGATATAATCTGGAACTCTCCTAGATAGATTCGTTTTATAAAGGAACGAAATCATTTGAAACAAATGACTGACAAGTTATGATTATCATTACTACTATTGCAAAATATCATAATTTATCTTTATTAGTAGATAATCAACTTCATCCAGCAAATAAGAGATTTATGAAAATTATTCATAATGCTCAACAACTTACTCGAAGAGAGATTAAAATAACTATTTTATCTCATTGCTGTTATGATATAGTTATGATGTATTCTGAACAATTTTCCAAAATCTAGACATCGATGCTGCCGGAAACGCTGCAATGACACAGGAAGTGGTATTTTAAGTCTGTTTGAATGTGGCGTTTCATGAAGTACATATGATCATGGGAATGGTGAAGGAGCCCAAGTCCCTTTTAATTTATTTTTGTGCTGAAAATATAGGTACGTATACTGAGTGGTATTGAAATAAGTGCAAATATTTCAAATTCTGATCAAAGCTCTACGTATACTATGGAATGGCACCAATAAAAAAATTCAAGGATCAGAATAAAATTTGGGGTAAGACCCCTTTTCCCACCAAAAGTTTTACACTGGAGCAAATTTTGGCGTCACCTCCGTTTGAATTTTTTTTTCATGTTCTGATTCCCACGAAAAGATATATCCTGTAATGTAATGCGGAAGGCACAATCACGCCGAGTTCAGTCATTTAAATAAGTGGAGTACTTACTTTTTTTCATTTTTTGTTTAATCTTATGGATGAAATTCTTCGTTAATTAGAATAGTAGAAAAAATCTGAAATCATGGGAATATTCGTTAGACTGTGTCATATCGAAAAACACGTCATATATAAAATTTTTACAAACTTTACAGTGAGAGAAAAAACTCATTATTGGAAACTTCCCCATTGATGAGAATAAAATAATCAGGCCTCATTCGTCATGGATGAAATTATTATTCATATTGTAATGAGGGCTGAAGACTGTGGCCTGTTCCATCGAAAATATGTTGAAGAAATGATATGGCCAATGGAAACAAATCGACAAGCTCCAGTTATGGTAAGACTTGAGCAGAATTGCGTCTTTTACTATCAATGTGGAACTTTGAACGCAATTCTCACGTTGACAGAAAAGAAGCTATCTAAGGAAGAGGCGAATTACATGAAAATAAAAATATGCATGTCAGTTCTACCAACTCTGACCTCACGTCCAGCGCCATCTGGTTGACAATAAAATATGTTAGCCCTAATTATTGAAAAATATAAACAGGGCGAGTAATTGATATGGGAAAGCTCAAGTGCACCTACATCGTTAATAATGATATTAAAATGAAACAAGAGGCAAACGGGAGGTGAAATTGTAGTTTGTAAAACTATCTTGCCCTATACTAGGTGTCATTTTTACAGTTTTCTTGATGATATCTTTTGTACATTTTTCCTTTGGTAGACTCTATAAATCCGTTTAGTTTTTGAGATTCGCTTCAACCGTTATTTAGAAGTCTTTTATTATGTTCTGAAAGCCACTTTTTTGTAAAATTGCCTGATTTTTTCAATATCACGTTGGGACTATGCCTATGTCTAAGCAACTGCCTTGGGTATCTGTTCTGGCCCATTGATTTTGGTAAACTTTGGTAAAAAAAGTTTTATGATGTCTAACTAACAAAGGATAAATTCAAATGTGTGTAGAAATATTATACAGGGGGGTCATTTAAAGAAAACTATTCCAAAATAATTTTACAACCTGCACTTGGATCTCCCATTGGATGTGCCAATGAGGATGACCACTGAGGGATGAAATCTGTTCAAATCTCTTTCAATCCATGAATCATGATTTACATTCAACATACTTACAATCAATATTGTAAGTCAAAGTTGAAGGGATTTGAATTTGCAGCGTGTTGAAATCAGCATATTATTATTCCATTAGATATTTCAAAAAGCCAGATATGAAGGTGGTGCCGTGACGTATTAGTCCTGAACCTAAGCTATCTCTCTCTGTTACCTTGGCGTTCTGCAGTGTTGTAGTGAGATTGGTCAGCTCGAGGACAATAGGGATGCTGGGACTAATATGTCACACCAGTCACACAACATATTTTGATTCTTTTTTTTTTCTGTGACGGGAAAACAGTTTGACATTCCATCTTCGTTGACAGGTTACAAAATGTAGTAGGAAAAACCCAAATACTCAAAGTGGAATGCAATAGTCACAAAGAGAAAAAAACTCAACGTCATTACAACAATAGTTCATAAAATGAACGAAAATGGTTGATAACGAGAGGAAAACAACCACTTTCCTGGCTATATGCCACGCAGAACATTGGATCCCATCCTCCCGAAATCTATGCAATAATTCGTATAAACGAATAAAATCGCAAGTGTTTCCTTCCTAAACGCCGAGCTGCGACTAAGCGGTTCAGGAACGCGTGTCTACCTGCAGACCGGTTTCGAGCTGTTAGCTCTCATCAGTGCAAAGCAAGTTTTTCATCTGTAATTGGTAAGAGTTAGTAGGATCACGTTTCAATATGCTAAATTCCCCTGAATTCACCTGATGAAGCTACTGTGTTGGCGAAACATCTTGTGTGTTTAAGTATTTTGTGGAGATCTTATCGTTTGTTCAAAGATTGATCAAATATCGGCCAAGTCGATTCAAACCATTGTAGGAATATGTGGTGTAGGTGCAATCGAGGTTTCCCATATCAATGACCGAGTCACTGACTCACCCTGTATGTGTATGCATGCACCCACCTCCTACTATCAGATAGACGTTCGGGAACACATTTTTCGCTTGCATCAGCTGCCTGGCATGGCCCTGATGGAAGAGGTCGTAAATGCCGTCGGCGTACACTCTGATGGGGCGTGCAGCCCTGCCGCTGCACGCCATTTCGTAGGTGATTCTCTGCGAGTAGTTGCACAGATCTCGGTTGCGGATGGCTTGCGGGTCGTCGCAGAAGGGGGCCTCCCTGCACTTGGAAGTCTAAAAAATAAACAGGGTGTTTCATCACTAGGAAATACAGTTCTCAACCACTCATAATTTGACTCTATTTCGAAGACCTGTATTTTTTGAAAAAATTGACCGATCTTCATGCGGTTTTCAATATCAGATGTGACATTTCATCGGCCCCAAAGAGAGCTAGAACACTCTGAAAAAGTCCGCAGAACAAAACTTACATAGGGTGTAAAGTGGAACCATTACACTATGGTTTACATTTCCAATGCTGTCAGAACCTGAGAAATTTTTATTTGATCAAAAGTCAGTCATATTATGATACACTGGGGCTTCATCTAGGGACGTTTTCGTGATTTCTCCTCAATTGCATTTGCATTTCTTGAGTTTTTTTCCTAGAACTCCACTCGATCCGACTATTGGGAAGAACTGTTCTCATGTTTTGTGGAGGACAATGAAAGACGAAAAAAGCACTATTGTGGAATATATACAGGATGAGAAGAAAATAGAACAAAATCTCATTTCAGTAAAAAAATCAAAAATGGTGACTAAAACCATGGCCCATTTGATTCAGTACATTCAGAAACGGCCTTCCCGATATTCAATATTCATATTAGACTCGAGACGTTTTAGAAAATTCGCCTCTAATTGAAATAAGGATGAAAATTTTCAATTCAAACTTGTTTCCTGATATCGATGATTCTTATCAACTGATTTCCAATATTTATTGCCCAAGTATGAGACACAGAGTATTGTTGTTCAATATACTGAGTGTATATATATATATATATATGAAACTTAACCTATCGAGAAGGCGAGAGACATTTCAAAATAATGACAACCTAAAACGTAAATAAAATTGATGACATACAAAGTACCCCATCGATCTATCGAACCTATTTAGTATTGATGAAATTTGCTCGCGTATTATTATTAGGTTGAATAGGATAGGAGCTCATCCTTTCAACAAATTCATTTAGCTAAATTTGGTAGAAATATAGTTTCTCACAAGGAACTTAATAACTTATAGAATAAATTCGACATAATCTGAAGTTGAAGTTGTTGCTATGATAACGATACGAAATACAGGCTTTCAATTGGTCGAAAATGTTAGGTGTGGAATTTTCTCTAAAACATCGAATAGCATTCATCATGTCACTAACCAATTTCATAATGTCAGTTGCACACCTCCCTTTCCCCACACTAGTTTACAAGCTTCAATTGCATTGGCGTATTACCTCATAATTATTAAAGTGAAAGTTAATCAGTTGAATGGAATTAATAGTACACCATCATACTGAAACTACTGGTAAAATAATATTGAAAAAATAATTCAACCGGTCCAATTATTGAAGAAAAATGATAAGAGCATATGACTCGCTGCAAGATAAGATAGGAGAATAATATATCGGGTGGACGAACATAAATTTTGACTCGCATATTAACCGAACTAACGAGACATACCTAATGAATAAAGCATCTTATAAAAACGAATAATTACTGTTTCTAATTCATTCTTCAATGTGAAATTTATGCATTTCTCCTAAAAATTTATAAGCCTTTCTATCTTGTAAATTTTTAGAATTTGAATAATAATTTATTGTTTCAACCATTCTACATTCTCTCTATCAAGTACGAAAGTAATTCAGTGGAACAAAAATATCCACTGAAAATTCACGGAAAAAGGCAAGAAATTATAGCAAAATATTATGTTCACCCTATATAAAGTATTACCAAGACGTTCGCCTACTCATGATGTATTGGCCCAGGAAATTGCAGAACTTGAAGAATCTCGTGATAATAGAAGTCCTATAAAAATTGAGATATATGATTTTTTCTACAAACGTCAGTAAAAGTATAATTTTTGACGCATGCTGTCAGTGTCTAAAATGTCAGTTTATGACACTGGTGTAAAAAGTAAATCAGTTTTAGCACTAGTGCTAAAAGTGATTTATTTTTATGAGAAAATATGTGAACATAATTCAAAATGAAGTGTTTATTCAATTAAAAGTACAATTAGCGAAACTACAATTATAATACGAAGGGATGGAACCTCGGATGGAACACTCCGCCGTCGGCGTCGTGTCCCAAACTTCCCTTCTCACAAAATAAAATGTCACTTTTAGCACTCATATCATGAATAACTATTTTATGAGCGTTAAATCAATTCCTACACGGAAAACGCTATTTGACGACAACGTGAGTCATTTTCATTTTGACATCGACAAAAAAAGGTGCACCTTTTTTTATCGCTGATAAACTGCCTGCTCCTTTGATCTAGTATCTATTTGACCCTGATGTCACCAGTGAATGTCACTCCAATTTCTGTTGTGCCAAGTTTGATTGACGAGTATAGTTCACACGTAAATTAGCAAGATGACCCGTTTTAAGAAAATTTCGTCTGAAGAAACCACGAAAATATGAGAAAATCAATTCCGCAAACTACCAGTTACACGGAATCACCAATAAAGGTAATCATTATTGTTGTTTATTTGTATATTGTCGTCGATTTATCATATATAATACCACAAGTGATAATATTTTGCCGGAGATATTCGGTGATTGTTACGACAGCTTGTTGCTTAGTAATTTCGTGAATGACATTGTTATCAAAACTACGAGCCGTAGGCGAGTAGTTTTGGATCAATGTCATGAGCGAAATTAAAGCAGCAAGATGAAGTATATGTCAATCGACGAATATTTCTAGGAAAAATAATATCACGAGTTGTATTCGTATGACTATTTCATGATTGAGTGATACAATATATATAAGAAATAGGAATCATAATTTGAGTATATTCCAACACAAACTGTGAAGAAGAACAGAATGATAGTAATGAAATACAGAATTCAATTTTTTTGAAATATTATAGTTATTCACAAAGTGGAATGTACAATTTTGATAAACAGTATTTTTTTATTATCTTGGAGATGGTTGATCTCAAAAGAGTGTATACAATTGCTATCCAATTCAAAAAAAAAAAAGAATTGAGGTGACATGAAAAAATTTTTAAAAAAGATATCGTCGCCGAGGGGCTCGAACCATCGACCTTCGTATTTTCGCACAACAACCCTATCAGTTGCGCCACATCACATAGTAGTAGTCATAATAACTTGAGTGATTGAAGAAGATTACTTTAAAGACGAATTTGAATTCTAGTATTGTTGTGTCAGACCAACAAATATGCAAACTTTTTAAATTACTCATGAAACGTCCAGCCAGAATAAAATTGTCTCGCCTTTCGTACAAAATGTCTCACTAACGCAAATTATAAGTAAATAAAATAAAGTAGGAACTTAGGTTAATGTCTCAGATTTGAATCCAAAGCAATCTTGACCAGACACGATGTCAAAATTTTATCGCTGATAAACGAGGTTTGTTGGTCACGTGTTGGTCAATTCGGCTTCTGTATTGGTAGAGCAAGTCCGATAAAATTTAGTAAACAAAAAATATCGCTAGAATAGAGAAGAAACCGTGAAAATGGTCTATTCTGATTGGTTCTCGAGATCAATAGTGGAATAGTCTTGCCAAATAACACTCGAACTTTTTTTTTAGATGGATAAATTTCCTTACTAACTCGAACACTTTCCATCAGTTATTTATCTCGAAAACTGACATTAAACAAATTTGCTAGACCTACTGTTTATAATTCGAATTTTGTTGCTATTAGGTAATTTTTTCTTCAAATTGCCAGGCAACAAAATTCTTATTGATACATGTCAAGTTTACTTCGACAAAAAAAAAAGCTCTCATGATTATAAGTGAAAATTGAACGTGATTGTGCCTTCCGCACAGAATTTTTACAGAGGTGAAGTCAGAATTATTGTCCCCACCAGGCGGATGGCTCTTCTCTGGATGGAATCTAAGAGTATCAGTGTGCTGAACCCCATATGGGATGACATTATTCTAAATCTGGCCGTATCTGTGCTTTGTCGATCATGAGAAGCTGTTAAGGTGTAAAATAGGTTTTCGCACGGAATAAAAATCACGAGTTTTTATGACGCAATCTGACATGATTTTCCCATTGTTATCCAAAGGATAAAAATCCTTATAGCTAACACCGCTAAAACTGCGGCTACGCTATAATCAGTGACAAGAGGTTATCGTTTGCAATCACTTGGTTGGTTTTGAAATTTGGACATTACGAGAATAAGAACTTGAATACACGACAAAAACGTGTACTGGAACATTAAAATATCCATTAAGATGAATGATCCATTGCTATTTCTTTATTCATTATCAATTCATTGATTATCATATTTAATAATGAGCTATACCTATTGAATGTTACCTCATCATGGTAACAAAAAGTCATCAATGACTCCAATAAGAATGATGAATTGCAACAAACCATGACAAGCAAGCAGACAGTAATATACAGTGTGTTTACTAACTACGTGACGAAACATCAGATGATTCGTTAGACCGTTACTAGTTCCTATGAACATACCGAGTGTTTCTCCAACGTAACTTTCTTATTATTGGATGTAGTAAAACGAAATTCGGGAGCTGTGAATTATAGTTCTATTGAAATTTTCTGACAAACCTACTTGCTTTGCAGTACCAGAGGTGACCCCACATTTTGGGACACCCAGTATTATATTCCATAATCGGTTAGGGATTATTTGCATTCAAAGTTAAGGTTCCAGATGCTCAATGGGTGTGAAACACGTGTGAAAGCGCAACTTCTTTCTCTGTCAAGCTAATTGAGAAATGAAAATTTCGAATTTTCCTAGTCGTTTGGAATAGTTTTATCAAACCTGGCATCGTGGAATTCATTATGATAATCCCTAACCGATTATTAAATAAAATACAGGGTGTCCCCCGTTTTCTGTCAAAACGGGAATAAGGCTTAGGAAGTAGATGTCAAAAAATGTCAATAGAGCAGTTCAACTAGCTTTGAGAGAGAGAAAATATGTCTTCCCTAGAGTGACGACAATGGCTGTTACTTCCGCAATGTCAAGTCACTGAATAGCTGAAAATCTGAAGGGTATCTCCCATGCATTAATGAATTTGTGCCTTCGAAGTG